GCAGTTGAGCCGTTTCGCCACCGCAGTCAAGGGAAACAATTGATGTTTCCTTCTCATCGTGGGAATTGAGTCAACAGAAAACCAATGTCAGAGTGTGTTTGTGTGTGGCACTGTGATTTCGGAACAATTTCAAACACACCCGGAACATTTCCCTCCACTGCACGGCCCCTTAAAAGGATTGCTGCCTTGTTTTTGAGTTGGAGTTGGTGTAAGTTTCTCGGATGGGTGATGTTTTTACTTGTTGTTGATATATGATATGCTTAGTTTTGATAGTTACTTGTTCTGGAGACCTATTGTTGTTTTGCTTTGCATTTGTTTTGTGCTCTTCTGAAGTTTGTATGGTTCTTGCTTGTATGTGTTTGTTTGCATGCTTTTGCTTTTTCTGTGTGCTGTTCCACTTGTTTGTGACAGGTGGCCAGTTTGCAAAACTATGCTGCTGAAGCTGTTCGCGGCTTCCAAGCCCAACCTCCCAAGCTTTGCCGTGTGCTGTGGCCACTGCGTCAAACGCTGTAACGTTAAAGAACGACTTACTCGATGAGTGCTTGGTTGGTCTGCTTATGGGTGGAGGGCGGCACTGCTGCCAGCTTCTGCAGCCAAGCCAAGCTGGAAACAACCAAAATAAAGCACAGGCCAGCCAGCGAGCAAGTCAAGCCAACCAAATCCAAGCGCACGCAATCAAGCATGCAACCCAACGCAATCAAGAAATTATCGCTATAAGTAGCAGCAAGATTCTAAGGATGGCGGCTCATGCTGCACATAGCAGCAGCAGGAGGATGTCCTAAGTGCTGCAAGTACCAGCGAAAAGGGACGCGAGGTACCCAACATAAATATTGCAGTTGCAGCGGTAGTTGGCATTCAGGTCAGTTCTGGGCAACCATGAGCCGACTGGCGATGAGTCTGGAGAGTTTGTTCTGCACTCCGAAGATCGACAGACCACGGATGCAGAGGCAGCATACTCTGGAACTGTGCCAGGTGGATGTTTGCAGAAGCGCTTGGCGCACAAATTTGGTCGAGATAGGACGGGCGAGTGCACCAAATACTCTGTCATGTCGATGCCCACCGGAGCACAGCCATGGAGATTGGTGTTTCAGACTGTGGAGGCTGGGTCGCAAGACAGTGTTTGGCATTGATCCAAACTTGTCAGCATTGTCTGGTGGTGCTGCAGGACCGACTCAGTTGGTCAATCTGATGCAAGGGCTCAGTTCTGCTTCAATGATTTTGCAGCTGATGCCCCTAATCATGTTGATAGTGATGATGATTGTCAGTGACAGTGCCAAGTCGCGTCGCTTTATGAAGTTGCATGTCGGTGCTGCAGGGTGGATTTGGCTGAGCTGCTCATGAACGGAACACGCCCAGAATGGGGCTCGAATCAGTTTCTTTGGTTGCGTAACATGGCAAGGCCACACCTGGGAAGCATACCTGGATTGGTCCAAAGCTCACTTGCAGCAAAGGCGTCTCCAGCGGCGCCTCCTCCGCGCCGATTCCGAACCGATGGAGCGTGGGCCGCTGCGCCACCACCAGCACCGGCGGCCCGGTTCCAAAAAGTATGCCAACAGCGTGAGCAGAGACTGAAGCAACAACAAAGGCTGTGTGTCCTAAGGCCAAGGCAACCAGCATTCTCAACAATGACATATAAGGAGCAGGTTGGAAGCAGATGTCTTCAACGGGGCCAGGGACATCCAGTTGCCAAAGCTCAACTGTGATTGCATGGGGGCGTGCGTGGATCTAGATGATGAAGCGATCAAGAAATTGTTTGATCGCGAGGAGGATATAGGAGGATACTTCGGCAGTATCGTGACGATGAGTTGTCGAATGTCGTCAAATTTCTGGCATTGCGCCATGAGACTTATGAGATGGCATTTGAGATGGGTGAGAGAGGAGCTGGCTTGACTACAGGGTATGCGTATCCTGCAGATTGTGCAGCAGCATTAGCATTGGTGAGAGAGAAGCTGGCCTGACTACAGGCAGCAGGCAATCCATGTGGCTTCATGCCACGGGCTCCATTGACTAGGTTGGAGATAGAGCATCGAAGCAGGACATCTTTGCCACCGCGGTTGTCAAAGAAAGCGTTCGCTTTCACAGAGCTAGGCATGCTGGTGTACAAGGCACATTGATGAAAACAACCTGTCTCACCCTGCTTCTTCATCTTCTCTATCTTCCTAGCGAGAGTCCTGACCTCATATCCCATATCGCGTTCCGACGTGAAAATAGTTGCAATGACAGTTGGCGTATATGACATATAAAAGCTTGCGCAAAGTTGGAGCCCACGAATTTTGGAACAAACACCAAAAAGCAAAGGCTTGCATAGGGTCGAATCAGACCACTTCGCCCCGAGGTTGGCGCCACGAAATGGGCCCGGCGAGCCTTGCTGAGCGAGTAGGAGCGACCGTCCGTCGCGTCAGTCGTTTCGGCTTGGCCGCCATGCAGTCGGTCTGAGAGGGTTTAGTGTTCGCCCCAAAGGCGGCCTGAACATCTCCAAAGTTCGGCGGATCTACCAGGATCTCCCTATAGTAGATGGACCCGAACTTCGTAGAGAATGTGGCATGACCCGAACCCCAAAAACACGTGCTGATACCGTTTACCCATTGTTGCCGAGGTACGAACGGCAAGTCCAGGTTTACAGTAAGCCAAAGTGGGCTGGGGGGCGGAATTTCCAAGAAATCGGAAGGTGCTAGTAGAAGACATCATCCCGATTTAAGATTTGGACATATCGGATTTGCCCGTGGGGTGGGGTGGATCCAATGGGTCGACTTGCCAGAAAAAAAACACCCCACAAAACAGCATCCATCAACATTGCCAGTGGAACTGATCCAATGGATGGTGTGCGTCACACGGGTAGTAGAATGGTACCAGTTGCACTACCATGCGCTGACTTTGGAAGGACCGATGGAGTTCTACAGTTCTACTGCCGAAGGAGGAAGTGGAGTGGGGATGGTACCAACCACACTGCCAAATGTTCTCTCCTTGCAGACTCTCCAGCCACAGTTTCTCACAGGTCTCCATAGGTACAAACTGGTCCTGGGGATCCAACTACCTTTTGAGGGGGGTCCAACCACCTGAGGATATAGAAACCCTATAGCGCTTAGGCCCTAAGGTTGGGAAAGGCGAGTTGCGTTTTTCATGCACCTCTCAAGTCCATTCTTTCGCACTCAACAGGTCCCTTTCGTTCACTAATACCTCACTGGTGGTACACTCTGACCCTTCGGCTGCCCCCCCCCCCAGACGGCCCCATGGACCCTGAGAATGGAGCCTGTGGGTTCGAAACCACCATGTTCCGAGTACCACCCCGGTGGTTTCGGGGTTTCATGTGGACCTCTGCAGGGGAGTATCGAATTCTTATACTTGGACCCGACTTCAAGTAGCCTAGAATGGGACACGACCCGAACAAGAAACGGGTACATAGTACCAAGTTTCCGAGGTACTTTCACAGGTCGACTCCAGCTGTGCCTCACCAACCGATCAGCTGGCAGGCATCATTGAGCAGCTGATGAGATCCAAAAGTCGCTGCGATCGCTGCGTGGCGCCGACTCCAGGGGGCCGAAAGCACTCCGATTTCGCGTGGTTTCGGACCAACTACTGGGTGGTGGTGTCGGATGATGCTGTGAGACTGATACTGTAAATATTACTTTAATCTATTTTATATAGGTATTTAATTCATGGCTGGGTTGTGCAGAAGGAGCGGAACAGACGAAAGTGAAGAAACAGATTGAAACACATTGATTCATATTGAATATGATGACCCGTTGCGGCTACCTTGAGTGCTGGCATCCACCCCAAAAAAGAAACTTCCATGAACATGTTGAACTATGGAATCTATAAGTCCAACGACTATGTTTGGCACCGCCAAAGTAAAGGAAATTCCAAACTTCGGATCACCTGTCAAGACAGTGGCGCTCTTGGACTTTCAGGGTGTACATGTGTTTTGTTATGCCACTGTGCCACATATTCCTGGTTGCCACGATCTATATTTGCACACTTGGACCGCAGTGGTGGACCACGAGTCCGACGATCGACGCGGAGTATGGATCGTGTCCCCCAAAGAAGGGTACCGAAGGAACAGGTCCAGGGAGGTACCTTTTCCTGACCAAAAGTTCCAACATGTCCCAAAACGAGGGCAGAAACACTTCACCACAGCCACTTCCAAGCACGCGATGCCGTCGGTTTTCCAAGAGGGTTGGCTGTCTTCATGTGGTCTTTCCAAGTTGGGAGACCTGTTTGGCTCTCGCTGTCTGAGACATGGTTTTGCTTGAGGAGGTGAGGTGAGGCGTGTGACCACCACCGCCGACCGTTGGGTCACGGACATGGTCCTAGCGGAAAATCTGGGAGCCGCCCTGGATCTTGGATGTTCCCCCCCCATACAAAGCCCCAAGAACCGCATGGAAGTGGAGTTCACCCCCCTGGTTGGTAGACGAAATGTATATATGAATTATATATTCAATCAATCTGGCGTATTCCACTTCCATCCAGGTGTGACACGTGACCCCGTCCTGTCCCGTCAATTCAGACCTGGCACAGGAGCTGGTGGACTTTGGTAAGACCGAGCGTGGCTATGCAGGGGATGCCCAGATTGTGGGGACCTGTTTTCATCCATGCGGATGAGTCCAACCTGAGTAGAGAAACAAGATAGTCCTTGGCCCGCCGTGGCCCCGTTGGAAGACCATTTTCCTCCACAAACAGTGGATTTGTTCAGTTCCGTTTTCATTCCAGGGAGAGTATTGTACCTCCGCACCTTTTGAGTTGTTGAAGCCTCTCCTGCTTTGGCTCTTGTTTGATCACCGAAAGCCTGGCTGCTTGGCGCAGAGTTAGACCATATGCAGTTGATTTTGGGGAACTTGGCAGTTGATTCGTGCACGGGAGCTTTCCAGGACCGGATTTGACTTTTTCATATTGGTTCAATTGCTGACCTCGGAAATCGTTCACGCCGCATCACGAGATGACGACCAAGTTGTCCCGCCTAAACAACTAAATAGCCCAACAAGCAAACTCGTTTGGTTCTCTGGATGTTCTCCCTTTCTTCCTCACTCGGTCTGTGTTTCTTTTTGCCCAGTTGGTCCCGGAAGTGGCGGTGCTCTCCACGCGCGGGGGCCTGGAGGGGCTACCGGTCCACATCCGAAAAGGTTTGGTGGTTTCGGGTGGTTGGTTGGGGGTGGGGGGAGGATGGGTCAGGTATACATATGGTCAGTGCTTGAAGTGGGGTCCAGGTACCCTCCCTAAAACTCAAACATGGAATCGGAAGTGGAGTTCATCCCCTGTAGAGCAACAAAAAAGCGCCACGCTATACACTCTCTAGAACTAACATGGAAGTGGAGAACGGCCCCTTGGAAGGCCATTTTCCATTACAAACAGGTGGTGGTTTTCCACGTAACCATGTTAGTTCCAGGGAGTGTATATCCACCTTCCATCGACGAAAGTCCAGGTGGGACTCCTGGTGAGTCGGGTGGGACACCGTTTTTTCCACCTGTGGTGGGTCGAAACATCTCCAGTCCTTTTCCAGGGGGTAAAAAGTTAGTTTCTGGCTGCAGAAACAAACTACCTTTCGAGGCCGAGCTAAGGCCTGACAATTCAAAAGACAGACAGCAAAAGGAAAACTAAAGTTTTCATTGGGACAAAAAAATGCTTCTGTGGGACCTGTGTTTTGGAAACTTGAGTTTTTCCAGAAAAAACAATGGTCCCGACGAAACCTTTGTTTCAAGCCCCGAAACTATAACTAAACTATATCCAAAAACAAACCCCGAGATTGGGAAAACCAAATTTGTTTCTGCGGCTGAAGCTTAGTTTCATACTTTGCGCCCTCGCCGGGGTATTGGAACATCCCCCCCCCAACGTTTGTTTCCGGGTTGGAAACTTTAGTTTTCGAAACTAGTGGAAACTAAAGTTAATGTCTATGCGTGAAATCTAACGTTTTTCTGCTTCCAGTTGGAAACTTGTGTTTTTTCCTTGGAAACAAACGTTTTGAGATTTTAGTTTTTTGCTTCAAGACAAACGTTGGCCAACGTTACTACTATTCCTACTATGGGGTGAGGCCCGTGTTTTAAGACGTGACCACTATTCCTACTACGGGGCGCGGGGAGGCGCTATGCCAACTATATAGAAATAGAAAAGCGGGAGGGATGCGCAGGCCTTTGCGATGCGGAAAAGCGGGATGGGGGCGCGGGGGAGGGCTCTTTCACACGGCCAACTTCCAAGGAGTGAACACGAACACGACCGCGAACGGGCAACCTTAGAAACAAGACAGCGGGACGGGGGTTGGGGGGGGAGGGTGCGGCGCCTCCCGCCCAGAAGCAAACGAGACCTATACGTAAAGAAGTAGTCGAACACGAACACGACAGGTTAGATCAGATAGATTCAATCAGGTTCACTTGTCCATGCTTCTTTCTAATTACTGATACTCTTTCTTGTTCCTTGCGCCAAAAAACTTTTGTTTTACCGCCACGAAACAAACTCGGTTTTCTCTATAGTTTCGGATTTTTTAAACAAAGGCTTTACGCAGCCGAAACTTTCTGGCACACGACACCTTAGTTTCTGCCATCCAAAACCAAAGTTAAAGTGTTTCTTGTCCTCCAAAACCTTTGTTTTTCAGTCCCGAAACAAAGTTTGTTCCCCCCCGGGGGCGGGGGCAGGGTCACCTTAAAACAAACGTTTTCCTTCACAAAACGTTTGTTTCTTCCGAAAACTTTAGTTTTAAACTTTAGCCCGCGGGGTATCTCCCCTTTTGCTTGTATCGTTTGGTTATCAGAAGCTACGGGTTCTTGTCTCACCACCATGCGCGGAATGTTTCCATGCACAATTTGCCTGGCGAAGCACGCAGTCAAGATTTCTCAGGTGCCAAAAGTGGGGGTTCTGGACCAGGTGGCGCCATTGGTGGTTTGGTGAGCTGCTGATCATAGCAGCCAATCATTCACTGGAGGATCTTCCAATACCATCCAATTCCATCCAATTCCAACAGTACTTGGAGCCCTGAGAATATAATATGTCATTCATTCTTGTGCTGAACATGCACAGGGTCACCAAGGGCGCCAGTTTCGTTGGATTTAGGGGTCGAAGGAGAAGAAGGTCGATGTTGCTATGGCCTACTATGATGTTTGCACAGCTAGCGGAGAGATTTCTTTCACCCCAACAATCCAAGGTGCGGGCTTTCGGATATAGTTGCCTGAAGCAGCGAAGTATCATCCACTAGGTAACCCTGGAACAACGTGATAGAGAATCCACACCGTATATTACAGAGAAGGCCATACGGCCTCCCCCACTTCAATTCAACGTGGTGAATCTGTTTCATGTAGGGAAACCAACAGAGGTTTTTTCACAACCATATACTATATACGTACATACTAAAGATATATATATATAGCGACGGACTGAAACTTAGAATGACGTCAGTTCGCCATCAGAATTTACTATACGCACTTAGAATGACGGCCAAAAATGCTGTTTTGCGGGCCCACTTAGAATGTCCCACGGCAAAAACTCGTTCGGGATTCTAAGTGCGATCATCGAAAATGTGATTTCTTTTTTCAGAACGTATCGCACAAATCATATCAACATGTTAACGTTGCTAATTTATGAATGATACCGGTGGAACCACTGCTTATTGTGTGTGGAAGGGTTGGGTGTTGTCCTGTCAATATGTATCTCTATATATCTACCCGAAGCTAGCATGTTACTTTGGAATTTGCGGGATGGAAACACAAATAAATGATCATAGGAGATTGCATTTGGGGGGCATTCCCACTGAAACCTGCATGTCTACAGGGTTTTTGAACTTGGGTCTTTGATATGTCCTAAAGCAGATAAAACAGCGTTAGCAAAGTTTGTTGCACTCTGCCTCTTTTACTGGATATATGCGTGTAAATGTAATTTCCTGCCCTGATCCAGCTGCATTCAATGGCTTCAACTGACGCTTTGCTAAACATCACAAAAAGCAACAAAAGGATGAGAATCAATGACAGGAAAATGGGACATCCTATCCTTTTCATCGTTCCATTTGCCTTTCCTCTTCCTCTTCCTTTTCTTTCCCTCTTCATTCGTCTCATTGTTTTTTCTCTTCCTATTCTTTTGCCTTTACCTGTTGCCTGCTCAACTGCTCCCTTTTCTTTTCCTTGCCCTCTTCTTCTGATACCTTTCCGGTTTTCCTTTCCTGGTTCCTTTCCTCTTCCTTCTACTTTCTGCTGCCATGTCTCATTCTTAGCCATTTTGTCCTTTTCCTTTTCCTCTGCCTAGTGCTTTCCTTTCACCTTTTTCTACCATTTCATACTGTTGCTTTTTCGTCGTTCTTGCCCTTTCCTTTTGTTTGCCTGCTCTGTAGGTTTGCGGCTTGCAGCATGCAAAGGCTGGGCGCAGATGCTGTTTGCAAATCTATGCGTGCATACACACACTCACAGACTGACAGTTAGAATGCCGCTCTTGATCCCAAACATGGCAACGAGGAAGGGGATGAGGAGAAACAATGACAGGAACATGAGACATCCGCTCCTTTTCATTGTTGCATGTTCCTTTGCTCTTTCTCTTCCTGTCCTATCCCTTTTGCATCTTTTCTTTTCCTGTCTCATTATTCTTTTTCCTTTCCACTTTATTATGTTTCCTTTCCTCTTTTACTTGTCTGTTTCCTTTCCCCTTCCTTCTCCTTTCTGCTGCCATGTCTCGTTCTTAGCCATTTTGTCCTTTTCCTTTTCCTCTGCCTGGTGCTTTCCTTTCACCTTTTTCTACCATTTCATACTGTTGCTTTTTCGTCGTTCTTGTCCTTTCCTTTTGTTTGCCTGCTCTGTAGGTTCGCGGCTTGCAGCATGCAAAGGCTGGGCGCAGATGCTGTTTGCAAATCTATGCGTGCATACACACACTCACAGACTGACAGTTAGAATGCCGCTCTTGATCCCAAAAATGGCAACGAGGAAGGGGATGAGGAGAAACAATGACAGCAAAATGAGACACCCGATCCTTTCCATTGTTGCATTTCCCTTTGCTCTTCCTCTTCCTTTTCTTGTCCTTTTGCTTCTTTTCTTTTCCTGTCTCATTATTCTTTTTCCTGTCCACTTTTTTTCAGTTTCCTTTCTTCTTTTACTTGTTTGTTTCCTTTCCCCTTCCTTCTGCTTTCTGCTGCCATGTCTCGTTCTTAGCCATTTGTCCTTATTCCTCTTCCTTGTCCTTTCCTTTCGTTTGTCTATTCTGTGGGTTTGCAGTTTGCAGCGTGCCAAGGCTGGGCACATATGTCATGTTCTTTGCAAACCTATGCGTGCATACAAACACACACTCACAGATGGACAGTTAGAATGCCCGTCTTGATTCCAACAATTGCAATGAGGAAGGAAGGGAGGAGAAACAATGACAGGAAAATGAGACATCCTATCCCTTTCATTGTTCCATGTGTCTTTCCTCTTCCTCTTCCTGTCCTTTTGCCTCTTGCCTTTTCCTGTCTCATTGTTCTTTTCCTTTCCTCTTCTTTTGCTGTCTTTATCTGTTTCCTGTTCCCCTTCCTTCTCCTTTCTGCTGCTATGTCCCGTTCTTAGCAATTGTGCGCTTTTTCTTGTTCCTCATCCTTGTCCCTTTCTTTTTGTTTGCTTCTACCATTTCTTCATGTTCCTTGATCTTCTTCCTTGTCCTTCCCTTTTTGTTTTTCTATTCTGTAGGTTTGCAGTTTGCAGCGTGCAAAGGCTGGGGACATATGTTGTTTGCAAACCTATGCGTGCATACACATACTCACAGACGGACAGTTAGAATGCCGGTCTTGATCCCAAAAATTGCAACAAGGAAGAGGGGAGAAGAAACAATGACACGAAAATGAAGCATTCTATCCTTTTCTTTGTTCCTTCTTGCCTTTCGTCTTTGTTTTCCTTTCCTTTTTCACCCTCTGTCCTTTTCCTTTCTCATTGTTCTTGACATGTCCTATTATATATGTATATAGCATGTTTTGTTTACTGTTCATTTTTGTGGTTGCTTCTTTGCTTTGTGTCCTTTCTTTTTTGTCCTTTTCTGTTTCCTTTCCCCCTCCTTCTCCTTTCTGCTGCCATGTCCCATTCTTAGCCATTTTGTCCTTTTCCTTGTTCCTCTTCCTGGTGCTTTCCTTTCACCTTTTTTCTACCATTTCATACTGTTGCTTTTTCGTTGTTCTTGTCCTTTTCTTTTGCTTGCCTGTTCTGTAGGTTTGCAGTTTGTAGGATGCAAGGAATGGCCCATTTTGTTTGCCAATCTATGCTTGCATACACACACTCACAGACTGACAGTTAGAATGCCACCCTTGATCCAAAAATTGCAACGAGGAAGGGGATGAGGAGAAACAATGACAGGACAATGAGACATCCGATCCTTTCCATTGTTGCATTTCCCTTTGCTCTTCCTCTTCCTTTTCTTGTTCTTTTGCTTCTTTTCTTTTCCTGTCTCATTATTATTTTTCTTGTTCACTTTTTTCAGTTTCCTTTCTTCTTTTACTTTTTTGTTTCCTTTCCCCTTCCTTCTGCGTTCTGCTGCCATGTCTCGTTCTTAGCCATTTGTCCTTATTCCTCTTCCTTGTCCTTTCCTTTCGTTTGTCTATTCAAGTGGGTTTGCAGTTTGCAGCGTGCCAAGGCTGGGCACATATGTCATGTTCTTTGCAAACCTATGCGTGCATACAAACACACACTCACAGACGGACAGTTAGAATGCGCAGCTTGATTCCAAAACTTGCAATAAGGAAGGAAGGGAACAGAAACAGCGACAGGAACATGAGACATCCTATCCTTTTCATTGTTCCATTTCCCTTTCCTCTTCGTATTCCTTCTCCTTTCCTTTAGCATCGTTCCTTTTCCAGTCCCATTGTTCTTTTTTCCTTTCTTTCCTTTCCGCTTTTCCTTTCTGTCTCCTTTCCCCTGCTTTCTCCTTTGTGCTGCCATGTCCCGTTCTTAGCTGTTTGTCCTTTTCCTTGTTCTTTTGTTTGCCTATTCTGTGGGTGGTTTGGCGTGCAAAGGCTGGGCACATATGTCATGTTGTTTGCAAATCTATGCATACATACACATACTCACAGACGGACTGTTAGAATGCCCGTCTTGATTCCAATAATTGCAATAAGGAAGGGAGGGAGGAGACACCATGAAAGGACAATGAGACATCCTATCCCTTTCATTGTTCCATTTGTCATTCCTTTGCCTCTTCCTGTCCTTTTGCCTCTTGCCTTTTCCTGTCTCATTGTTCTTTTCCTTTCCTCTTCTTTTGCTGTCTTCATCTGTTTCCTGTTCCCCTTCCTTCTCCTTTCTGCTGCTATGTCCCGTTCTTAGCAATTGTCCTCTTCCTTGTCCTTCCCTATTGTTTAGCTATACTGTAGGTTTGCAGTTTGCAGCGTGCAAAGGCTGGGGACATATGGTGTTTGCCAGCCTATGCGTGCATACACATACTCACAGACGGACAGTTAGAATGCCGGTCTTGATCCCAAAAATTGCAACAAGGAAGGGGGAGGAGAACTCATGACACAAAAATACAGTTTTTTTTTACCATATATATTTTGCAGTGTTTTTGTTAATTATGTTTTGGTTTCTTCTTTGCTTTGTGTCCTTTCTCTTTTCCTTTTCTGTTTCCTTTCCCCCTCCTTCTCCTTTCTGCTGCCATGTCCCATTCTTAGCCATTTTGTCCTTTTCCTTGTTCCTCTTCCTGGTGCTTTCCTTTCACCTTTTTTCTACCATTTCATACTGTTGCTTTTTCGTCGTTCTTGTCCTTTCCTTTTGCTTGCCTCTTCTGTAGGTTTGCAGTTTGCAGGATGCAAGGGCTGGGCGCATATGTTGTTTGCAAATCTATGCTTGCATACACACACTCACAGACTGACAATTAGAATGCCGCTCTTGATCCCCGAAATTGCAACAATGACAAGGAAGGAAAATACGACATCCGATATCACCCGATCCTTTTCATTGTATATATGTTTCTTTCCTTTCCCTCTTCATTATCTTTGCCTTTCGCTTCTCCACTTGTCCTGTCTCATTGTTCTTTGTCCTGTCCACTTTTTTCTGTTTCCTTTCCTCTTCCTTCTCCTTTCTGCTGCCATATCCCGTCCTTAGCCAGGGCCATTGTTTTCTTTTGTGTTCTTCGTCCTTTTTTGCCTTTGTCCTTTTCCTGTCTCATGTTCTTTTCCTTTCCTACAGTACTCCTTTTGCCTTTATCCTTCTCCTTTTCTTGTTTTTTTTTTGTTTCCTCTTCTGTTTCCTCTCCTGTTCCTTTTCCTTTCTGCTTCCATATCTTGTTCTTTGCCCTTTGTTTCTTTACAATGATGACAAACGGGTTGTTTGACTGTCAAGTAAGACAAACCCGGAACTTGCACTTAAAATGTCGAGCTTCCCCCCCCTGACGCACGTCCAAAATGCAGGAGCCCTCACAAGTCAATAATTATGTAGGAGGGCCCTGGTTTTGGGCATGCTTAGTTGACCGATCAAAGCCGATGGCACGCTTGGCCCACAAGAAAAAGTTACTGGATGCTCACGCCATATTCTGTCAGCAGCCCGGCTTGATCTATGGCCCTGAAACCATTCGGGCTGAGAAGAACATATTATATATATAATATATGCTGAGGAAATATGCTGTTTCAAGCACAATATTCCAGTTCAAACATGACTTTTGGGCGCCGACGTTCTATGTGATGCCCCGGAAAAGCCTTTCTGCAGCTATTCTTACAACAGGGGTCCTCCCCCTGCTTCGGGTGTTTTCCGCCTGAGTTTTGGATCTGCGTTGATGAGAGCACGTCATTCTAAGTTTCAGTCCGTTGCTATATATAGTATGTAGCCAGGTGGCACCGAAAACAAATCCACCGCCATGGCTCCCAATGCGAGCCGCCTCAAGAAGCTTACGCACACTATTCCTAGTGTGGGAGGTTGTCAGGCTCCGCGAGCTGCCGCTTGAGCTGGTGCATTGCCTCCTGCTAAGAGGCCTCCATGACAAAATTGTCAAAAGGCAGACATGCCTGAAGCTCAGTGGAATGCCACCCGAACAGAGAGATCCTACAAAAGGTTGCTGGAAGACCTTGGTTGCAGCGCGGACATGCTTGATGTGCTGAACATGCGTACGGAGCATTGGCATTCAACGCCATTGCACCTGTCGCAACTCTTGTCGCTTGTGTTGCATGAATTGTCAAACCAAATGCCAACAAACTTTGCCGTCAGGTCACAGGCCTCAGCACCTCCCCAACCAACAGGCTGCTCAAAAGATGGGGGCCTTGCCAAAACGTAGGACCGACCAACTGCCCGTAAAAGCGTGCCGTGTCCACATGCCGGCAAATCAAACACAAATATACAGCCTAACAAAACGACCCAAAGATGTGACTCAAAACCAACTTTGAAACAAAGCCTCGTTTAACTGCTGGATGATCAAACGCCTTCAAACCACCAGAGAAACCTTTAGAAGTACAAGAGCCGAATCACATTTTTCAAAGCATGCAACAGCCAGAGCAGATTAAACTGATTAAACCAAACACGGATAAAACAAATTCACCTAGCTACAAAATTCACCGCGCACTTCTGGTAGCCAGTAGGCACAACATTTCACCACGGTGCTGAGTGGTTGTATTTAACAAAGCACATGTTTCTCACTTGCTGACTAAAGTAGAGTGAGGACATCAACACTTCTCCGGGTTTCTCGAAGACTAGATGGTCAGGTCAAGTCGTCAAACCTGTTTGTCAACCAAACGCTCGAAACGACAACAAAAGAACACATGCCAATTGGTGCCTCAGGGTGCCTCGATGTTTCGACCCCGAAGAAAAACAGCATCGAAAGCCATCGCACCCAAAACCATCGCCCCAAAGAAACGCCAGGTGCAATCGCTTCGAACTCTACTTCGCGTCCCCCGAGACGCGGAAGTTCGCCGCCCTGGAGTGGGAGAGCCCAACGGGAAAATGAACGGTGGGACGGTGGCAGACCGCTCAAGCCTTCTGGAGCAGGTAGTAGTGGGAACCCGAAAAGAAGTCGCACAGCTACAGGCTGAATAAATGAAACTTGTCATCCATCTTGGCACGAGGATCATTCAGCTCCTTGTAGGTCGACTTACGTTTGAGGGAGACTGAAAACGATGGGGATCTCCGACTCCAAAGGGGATTCATGGACCAGGATAGGCAGACTTTGAGAGGTCATAAATGGGAGTATAGGTTAGGTCATATGATTGACTCTAGAATATGCAGCAACCATCAGCAACCAGTGGAAACAAAGGCTGAGATTCAGGGTTCCTTTCAGATTCATGCTTTTGGTTTTGGTATTCAGTGAGCAGCCCAGTCGGTTTCGAAGTCTGGGCTCTGTTTTCCGTGAACAGATCTTTGCTGATCCGAAGGAAGACATTCTGAAGCAGCAGCACATAGCAGCACCCAATTTGGGTAGAAAATTTGTGATGATAAGAGATGATAAGAGAAGACTCACTCCAAGTTCAAACTTTTGGTGGCAGTGTCTCGAAATGTTTGGCTGCAAGTTGACAGAATCTCATCAACTTGAATTGTCCCTTCCTTGATGTGTTTCTGCTTAAACCAAGGAACACGATCACAGTCTTTGCTGAACAACATATGCCATACACTCCATGGGACTGGAACATATGCCGCCCCAAAAAGACCCCTTGGAATTACCACCACCCCAAGGTTTGCATCTATGCCAGTCCCATGAGTCACGTTTGGGTAGACGAACGCCGCGCAAGCGGCCGCGGTGGATCGGTTCCGAGACTGGACCGTGGTGTGCCGTCGCATCATCCAACCTTCGCAGGGCAGTCCATGCCTTCCTCAGTCACAAGTCTGGCCTCACTCGGGAGGCGGTTTGGACCGGCGGGGGACCGGCGGGGGGTGTTCAATGAGGAGGGGTCATGGGAACGGCTGGGCAGAAGATTTTCCAAAAAAATAGAGACACAAACAAGACGAAACATGACTATTTCACTGAAGTTTTTGACTTAGTGGACATTGCTTTCTTGGGAGACACTCTGAAGACACAAGGGCCTGGAGTCTCAGTTCGTACCTCAGAAGATGGGTAACAAGTCGTATACCTGTCTTTATAAGGTCATGAGTCACGTCCCATTTTCTATAGGGCACTTCAAGTCGGGTCCAGGGACAAATCCACCGGCACCTTGTGGACTTTGGAAGTCTTTTCTGTGGCACGTGCCCATCCCAGGAACTGGAGCCCTACCTCTTCAGCCACACAGGCGAGTCAGCCACGGAGCATCTCTTCCAGGCCCCGTGATCCCAGCAGGGAGTGAAGTGAAACAGTGGACAGGTGGAAGCAGTTTTCGATGGATGTGGGGCTTGGCAGACCCGGCTACACGAAATAAGGAGGAGATGTCACAGAATAAGCAACAGATTAACATGCATACTTAGACTTAGATTGTCTTAGATCTATAATTGTGATGTTTGTTGTTGAGTGATACGTTATACCAAAGCAGACTCTGCAAGACCGTATGTCTCAGTAGCTCAAGGAGATTTACTCAACAAATCACTTTTATCAACATACAGGTCACCCAAAGTATTTCAGTGACCATGGACAGAGGAGATGAGATGACTTACCGCAACATAGTGTCCAATAACACTAACTGATGGGGACACCACCAACAAGGCATTCCGCGATAGTCAATTGAAGGAAGTATCCAGTCTCACAAAAACAAATTTCCCTACGTTTTGAGGAACCAAAGGGCTGTTTGGAGCCCTTCGAAACACTTTGAACACTCCAACTAGAGTCCAAAGAGTGTCCTAACCAAGTTGAACACGACTGATTTGGAGCTCTTCGAACGACCCAAAAGCTTGACTTGCTTGGGCCTCCCATGACCGGTGAGTGCCGCAGGTGAGCTCTGGCTTGGACTCCCTGGTGCTTGGAGAGGCGCAGATCCTGGCACAGGCGCCGATCCTGGCCGCGGCAGGGAACAACCCGTCAGTCGACGACGGGCGCCGGGGCCCGTGGGGTGCCAAAAACCAAGCTCAGAGGATCAGGAGGATCCCAAATCCACTAACTGTTGTGCGTTCCAGACACCTTTTACCCATCATGTCTTTTCCCGAATGCGTAGCGAAGGGTTCTAGGGGGGTAGAGCCTTGTTCACGACTCGTTGTCGTAGCGACCGCAAGCGTTGTCAACCGTCTGCAACCGTTCGCGGATGGGGCGCTATGGCGCTCACATTGGGCGAAGCTTTTGGAGAGGGTTTTGGATGGAAGCATGACGTGTCAGATTTGTGTGAAATAGGGAGAAAAGGTGTGGAAACGTGAGAGGATGAAGTGTGGAGGATGAATTCACTGCGCAAGCGCAGGGTTTTGCGAGATGGGCAGTTTTCTGCGCAGTCACATTGGGATTGGCGTTTAGAGGGCGGTGTGTTTCTGGGGCGTTGGATGTGGCTGTGACATCGGGATTTGCGTTTCAGGCTGTTGCTTCGAAGCTGTGCTTTCATGACAAGTCTGAGCTCAAATGGCGACTTTGGTGGATGGGAGTGTGCTCAGAACGTGTCGAAATCATTCCAAGCGTGTGGTGTGGTGTAAATTTTGCTGAAGCGTAACATTGGATATGATATTGTCACTTTTCGTGGCAGGCGCAGTACTTTGTGCGGGGCTTGAGGTGTGTAAGTGCAATTCTCGCGTCGCGGTAGGTGCAGGGAATCGTGAGGTTGCGAGGTGTGGTGGAGGTCACATTTCGTGGCAGGCGCAGTACTTTTTGTGCATGTTGGAGGTGTGGACGTGCAACCTTTCGTGGCAGGCACAGGGAATCGTGAGGTTGCGGAGGTGAATGTTGCTGTGACACTGGGATTGGCATGTGAGCGGGTGTTGTTGGAGGGGATGGAATCGTGAAACTGCTTGGGATGGGGCTTCCCGCTTGTGACTTTTGGAGGAAGTCTCGTACAAAATGCTCGTTTTGGAGACTTTTTTTGACGAGGAAGTCTCATACGAAACGCTCGATTCGGAGACTTGACACATGCATTTTGGAGGAAGTCTTGTACGAAACGCAGTGTTGAACTTTTTTGAAGTGGCCGTCTTTTTTGCATATGTCTTTGTGCTACTGTTCCTTCGCCTCACGGCTTTTGCACAGTGAGTCCAGCAACCGGCTCTCGTGGGGGCCAAGAGGTCTTCTTCACTTGTGTATTTTTTGTGTTTTGTTTTGGCCGTGTGTGGAACGCAGAGTTGGTAGGAAGGACATCAGTGACGGAGACACATTCGAGACAACCTCGTCATTGACAGAAACACATCATCGAGAGATTCCAACCGATGGGCAGAAAAAGACCCCCACAACCGAACAGGGCCAAAAGATTACTTGCGGTGGAGAGTCTGCAGCAAAAGATAGGAGAAGGCGCATGTGTATCGGTGGATGGATGGGTGGTCTGGCAGAACAGGATCTCAATGTCAATGAGATCGAGGGGCTATGAAGCACTGCCATCTCAGTTTCAAAGGATGATGAGGATGATGAAGAAAGACTTCAACCTCGAGTTGCGAGGCGCCGAGCAGAAGAGTCGGTGGACTCTGGGTGGTATTCTTGACAGCTTCAAGTTGCGCTTCCACCCAACAGACGCCACGACGGTGTCTCAGCGGAGAGTTGTGTCCCAGTACCCTGGGAACGCCTTCTTGAACAGTTACCTCATGACGATCTTCGCCACGAAGCAGATGTCAGAAGCTCTGATGAAGAGACTTGTAAGGGTGTTGATCTTTAATTTGTTGTGCTGTCAAGTCGACAGGTTCTGTGGGCCGTCCGACTGGCACCTCGTGGACGCTTTTGGTGCTTCGCAAAGTATGTTCAGGTGCTGGCGCCGCAACTTTTATTAAAGTGAAGTTGAGCAAATGGATCACCGAGAACTTGGCTGCCTAAAGCAGTTCATCAACTTTCGCTCAAGCCTCGCATATTCCTGATTACTCTATTACTACTTTCCTTTTCTGCGCGAGTCTAGTTGCTTTTTTTGTTTGCCTTTTTTGGCTTCTCGGATTTTTTTAGGCTGATGCTGTGAAAGCATTCCTGCCCGTCAAGTACGCACAAGTTGTCGTGGAGCAACCCAAGTCTTCCCCGATGTCCTCGCTTCCGTGCTGGGACGATTTGGGATCAGAGTGCCAGATGACCTTTTAACCATCACCTACATAGCCTTGTCCGACGCTCTTGCGGAACACTCTTGTAAGACGCTCTCGTGGGTAACTCTTTTGTGGCACTCTTGTATGGCATTCTTGTGGGACACTCTTGCGAAGCATTACGAAACGCTCTTGTAGGACACTCTTGTAACTCTTGTGGGACACTCTTGTAGGACTCTGTAGGACACTCTTGCGGGCGGGACTCTTGGGCACAGTCTTGTGGGGCGCTACTACTAAAGTCTCCAAAAGTCAACCGTCACGTCTCCAAAGCTAGCGTTTTGCACGAGACTTGCTCCAAGAGTCACACGTCAAGTCTGCAAAACGAGCGTGTTGTACGAGACCTCTTCCAAAATTAAACAGTCAAAGTCTCCAAAACGAGCGTTTCGCAGACGTCCTCAAAGATTCGCATTTCAACTCTGCAAAACGAGTGTCCGCAAAAGTGTCCTATACAAGAGTGTCCAACAAGAGTGTCCCACAAGAGTGTCCCACGAGAGTTTTCCACAAGAGTGTCCTGCAAGAGCGTCCCACAAGAGTGTCCTATAAGAGTGTCCCACAAGAGTGTCCCGCAACAGTGTCCCACAAGAGTGTCCTACAAGAGTGTCCCACAAGAGTGTCCCACAAGAGTGTCCTACAAGAGTGTCCCGCAAGAGTGTCCGTCAAGAGTGCCCTACAAGAGTGTCCTACAAGGGTTTCCCGGAGGAGTGTCCTACAAGAGTGTTCGGAAGAGTGTCCCTCTAGAGTGTCATACAAGAGTGTCCCGCCAGAGTCTCCTCAAGAGTGTCCCACAAGAGTGTTCCACAAAAATGTCCGACAAGAGTGTCCTACAAGAGTGACCTACAAGAGTGCCCCGCAAGAGTGTCCTAGGAGAGTGTCCCACAAGAGTGTTCCACAAGAATGTCCGACAAGAGTGTCCTACCAGAGTGTTCTACAAGGGTGCCCGCAAGAGTGTCCTACAAGAGTGTCCCACAAGAGTCTCCCAAAAGCATGTCCGACGAGAGTTTCCTACAAGAGTTTCCTGCCAGGGTGTCTCACAAGAGTGTCCCACAAGAGTGTTCCGCAAGAGTGTCCCACAAAAGTGTCATACAAGAGTGTCCCACAAGAGTGTCCTACAAAATTCTTCGGCGAGACTGTCCCGCAAGAGTGTTTGGCAAGAGTGTCCTACAAGAGCTTTCCGCAAGAGTGTCCCACCAGAGTGTCATACAAGAGTGTCCCACGAGAGTGTCCTACAAGAGTCTTCGGAAAGAGTGTCCCACAAGAGTGTTGGACAAGGGTGTCCCACAAGAGTGTCCTACAAGAGTGTCCCGCGTCCCGTAAGAGTGTCCCAAAAGAGTGCCCCACAAGAGTGTCCTACAAGAGTTGCCCGCAAGAGTGTCTGCCAAGAGTGTCCTACAAGAGCGTTCCGCAAGAGTGCCCCACAAGAGTGAATGTCATGCAAGGCCTTCCACATCCCACAACAATGCACGAGTGTCCCACAAGGTTTTCCGACAAGAATGTGTCCTACAAGAGTGTCCCGCAAGACTTTTCCACAAGAGTGTCCCGCAAGAGTGGTCGGCAAGAGTGTGGTACAAGAGTGTCCCACAAGAGCGTCCTAGGAGAGTGTTGCACAAGAGGCCGACGCGAGTGTCCCACAAGAGTGTTCCAAAAGAATGTCCGACAATAGTGTCCTACAAGAGTGTCCTGCAAGGGTGTCTCACAAGAGTGTCCTACAAGAGTGTCCCACAAGAGTGTCCTACAAGAGTCTTCGGCAAGAGTGTCCCACAAGAGTGTCGGACAAGAGTGTCCCACAAGAGTGTCCCGCAAGAGTGTCCCACAAGAGTGTTCCGCAAGAGTGTCCCAAAAGAGTGCCCCACAAGAGTGTGCTACAAGAGTGTCCCACAAGAGACAAAAGTGTCCTACAAGAGCGTTCCACAAGAGTGTCCCAAGAGTGAGTGTCATGCAAGGCGTCCCACAACAATGCACAAGAGTGTCCCACAAGGGTTTCCGACAAGAATGTGTCCTACAAGAGTGTCCCGCAAGACTTTTCCGCAAGAGCTTCCGACCAGAGTGGCCGACGAAAGTGTCCCGCAAGAGTG